GAGAGACCCTGTCTCAAAAAACAAAGGTACAGATGACTTGGAACAGGGTGGTAGCAACAAAGAAGCTGGGCAGTGGATAGACTGGATGAGAGAGAGGTTCTAGAAGTGAAGACAGCCAGGATTGTGAGAAGAATCAGGAGGGTTCAGGCAAAGCCAGCTTTGGTTTTTTGGCCACTTCCTTTTGGCCCTGAGTTTGGTAGGGGTGGAGGAGGCAGAGAGATAATAAAACTTCCCCTAGGTCACTTACAACTTCAGGCCCTGAAACTGCTCTTTCTTCTGCTTCATCAGGACACAACAGTCTCTTGTGTTTCTTCCTATCCCTCAGGCCACACTTCTTTGCCACTCCAACATCTTCCCTCCAACTGGATGAAGCACCCTGAGGCTTCAGGCTTCAGCATGGATGTCTTTTCTTCTAGCTCCACACACTCCCTAGGGACTCCATTCTGGCTCCTGGCTTCAAAACTCACCTGCGTACTCAGTATTCCTCTGATTATATCCTTTCTTGAGAACTCAACTCAGAATTCCAGATTCACACAACTGCCCACTCACCACCTCCTCTGAAATACTGAGTCAGCTCAAAGTTCATTTGTCTAAATCCAGATGCCCTTTCCTCCCCTCTAAAACCACCCCACCTGGAACCTTCTCCTCAGCAAATAACACCTCCATTCTTTCAGTTGCTCAAGCCAGAAGTCTTGGTAACCCCAAGCTGCCTTTCCCTCATAGACCACATCGAAACCCACTTGCATATCCTATCACTTCTACCCGCAAAAAAATCCAAATTCCAATGGCTTCTCACCTCTCCCCAATCCACTATTATCAATCACTTATTCTCCTGGGTCACTTTGTAACTCTGTCTCCCTTGCCCCCCTACTGTCCATTCTCAACACAGCAGCCAAAGCAATCTTGTTAACCCTGCCTTCTTCACATCATGTCAGAACCTCACGATGGGGAGCTACCTCACTGCAGCAAAGCAGAAAACCGTTCAATGGTCCTGCACGATCTGCCCTCTTGCCACTGTCTTACCATCTCTCTCTGTGGCCTCACCTCAGTTCTAGCCTCCTCTAACCCACTCCTCCTCCAGCTCCAGCCCCCCCAACCTTCCCTACACTTTCTTCCAGCCATGCTGGTCTCCTTCCTAGTCCCCCCTCCCCCAGTTTGATAGTCCTTTGTGCTAACTGTTCCTCTGCCTGAGTGCTCCTCCCCTATCTGAGAGCCTTGCCCCATCAGGTGTCTGTTCAAACATGAAGTTATCAATGAGGCCTTCTTTGATCAAGCTGTTTACGCCAGTCACCACCCTTCACACTCATTCCCCTCGCTGAATTTGTGTCTGATACTCTGTGTCCTGTTGACTATGCCCCTCTTGCCTCCTCTCCATGAGCACATAATTATTAATAGAGACTTTTGTCTCTTATTTCCCTCCCTATCCTCTCTGCCCCATATAACAGGCATTCAATAAATGGCTGGCATTAGGGTGAGAACAACAGTCCTCAAGAGGCAGCCTGGACCTGAGAATGGAGACCTGACCTTTTTTTGGGGGGGGGGCTTTTTGAGACAGGGTCTCCCTGTAGCCCCAGCTGTCCTGGAACTTCCTATGTAGACCAGGCTGGCCTTGAACTCACAGAGATCTGCCTGCCTCTGCCTCCCGAGTGCTGGGATTAAAGGCGTGCGCCACCACACCCAGCTGAGACTTGACTTTTAACTCTAGCTTTGACACTATTTGTGTGACTACTAAGCCACAGGTTGTCTATCTCTAGGGTGTGGAGAACTCCTACGGTCCTTTGCTATAAGCAGCATTCTAGAATATGTGTGACCACAGCATCAACCCACTTCCATATTGTGGAACTCAGGAAGAATAGACAGGACCCTGGGTGAGAGAGGAAAAAAACTGCACTTCTTGCCGGGCGTGGTGGCACACGCCTTTGATCCCAGCACTTGGGAAGCAGAGGCAGGCAGATCTCTGTGAGTTCAAGGCCAGCCTGGTCTACATAGTGAGTGACAGGATAGCTGGTGCTACAGGGAGACCCTGTCTCAAAAAGACCAAAAAAAAAAAAAATTGCACTTCCAGGCAAGACCTAGATTGGGTCTTCCATGGCTTTGAAATGAAAAGCAAGTTTCTGGTTTGGCTTATCACAGTTCTGAGGTCCCAGGTGAATGGGTGAACGGTCCAGCCCCACCTGCTGGGTGGGGACAAGTAGAGGTCTGACCACTAGTCTGGGCCTCTATCCATGGAGCCTATCCCTGTGAGAGCATCATGGGAGCAAGCTGGGTACAGTGGCACAGGCCTATGATCCCAATGTTTGGGAGGCACATGTAGGAGGATCAGGAGTTCAAGGCTAGTCTTGGCTACATAGTGAGGTTGAGGCCAGCCTGGGCTACACAAGACCCCATTTTAAAATGATAAAGGACCAGCTAGGTGTGGTGGCGAAGGCTTTGATCCCAGCACTAGGGAGGCAGGTGGATCTCTGTGAGTTTGAGGCCAGCCTGGTCTACATAGTGAGTTCCAGGCCAGCTGGGGCTACAGGGAGACCCTGTCTCAAAAACACCAAAAGAAAAAAAATAAATAAAGGACCAATAAAAAGAAGAATCAAGGCAGGAGTTGTGAAAGGCAGGCTGGAGAAGGCCTAAGTGACTGACCTGGCCACACAGCCCTCAGGGGGTACTATAGGTGGTTAAGCCTCCCTGCAGACCTCAGTTATTCCCCCCAGCTCTTGAAGTCAGAGCTGACTCAGGGACACAGTGGTCTGCCTTTTGGCTGAGGGCAGCCTGGTCCTCCTCCCTTTTCTGGGCCTTTCCACAGATCCCTGCTTGTTTTCTCCAAAATAAATGGGCTGAGCATATTGGGCTGGCAATAACCCCTTGAAATCAGTTGTTATCACAGTTAACAACCAGTTTGGCTTCGGTTCAGGCTGTTAACTATCAAACCACTAAGTGCGGTAATGATTGATTCTTGGCCAGTTGCAGCTTGAGTGGGCTGTAAAACCCCATTAGTGAGGGCTCTGTGGAGGCAGCAACTCAAAGATAAACAAATTGGTGGGTGCTCCAGCCTGGCCTCCTCCCATTGCTCTGTGCTCAACTCCCATGGGTCCTTGGCCTAGGGGCCTACTAGAATCAGTTCCTTCCTAAAGCCTTAGGCAGCCTCAGAAGCAAGTTCCTGCCCTCCTGCTCACCTCTCCTGCCTCTCAGAGGGCATCTATTCATTCTGTAGAGGTAGATCTAGTCCTCTGCACTGTTCACCTCTACTACCTAGATTCGAGTATGGCCCAGTTCCCTCCCCGCACCTCTGAGGACTCAAAAGTTCCCAGACCAGAGGCCTGAGGTTTAGCTTTGGTCTAGCCACTGACCAGCCTTGGCCCAGCCCAGCCCCACTTTGTAGCCAGGATCACAGGCAGAGAGCCTGACATTTCACCACCCCTTAGACTCCCTCCCACCCTGTGGCTTTCCCCAGGAACTGCTCTCAAACAAATGAAATGTGGGTAATTACTGGGCTGGGGGCTGGACAGGCGACTGAGCAGATGAAAGCGTTTCCTGGACGGTCTCTTCATTTGCATGGCATCAGAAGCTGCTCAGAAGGTGTGACTTTTCCCACAGTGAGACCCCAGCTCCTTGCACAATAAAGCCAGGCTGCTCACCCAGAATTAATTAAAGGGGGAGGGGAACAGAGGAAAGGACTAGGCACCAAGAGCTGGGGGAGCTAGAAGATATCTGGAGCCCCCTTCTCATTCCCCCAGTGGCTATGTACCTGAAGAACCCCACTCTATTCAGAGTCCTCACTCCCTCCTGCAGGCCTCAGGACAGGGTGGCTATGGCCTAAGGCATCCTCAACCTCTCAACCCCAGACTTTCCACTGAGTCTTGGAAGTCCGGACCCACCTGGACAGGCTGAGCTTGGGGCTTGGGCTGCAACTCTGGAACGCCCACATGTTTAGGAAGCCTTTGACTGCTCTGCCCCATACCAAGTGAGGTGCCAAAGAAGAGAGGCCTATAGGGAAGAGGTTTCCAGACTGTCTTAGTACTTGGACTATGGGAGCAGCCAAAATGGAAGGCCTGACTTGTGAAGAGTGGGCCATTTCTGGGCACAGGAGATCTGCTTCTGAGCCTCCTTCAATATGGCCTGATGTTCAGCCCCAGAGCCTCCTTTCTGATCCTGTCCATGCCTAGATCCTCTTCCTGGACAACAGTGCTCTGGGCTTTTCAGGAGCACCTGAGCCCAGCACTTTCTGAATTCTCAGTCCAAATCTCCCAAAGTTAACATTTGTTTCATGTCACAATTGTCAACCAGTCCCCTCCACACACTTCCATTTTGGACATTGGCAGCTGCTCTTTTCTTTCAGTTTTGGAGCCTGCTTCTCAAAAGAACCAGTTCTGGAGTCTTTGACTTGTTACTTATGCAACTAGATCTACAGAAAGCCATTTCCTTAAGGACTTGCAACCCCATCAATCACAGGCTGAGGGCTCCAGCCTGTTCATCATTCTGGCCTTGGGAACTGTTAGCACAAGGTGGTCCCTACCTGAGAGCTTCAAGACCAGCTCATATTCTCCTCTGGTCCTTTGTCCTGCTGCCTTACCAGGAAACAACCCCTGCCCCCAAAGACAGTGAAAGGCTGGCAACAGGAGTCTTTAAGACTGGAGGGTGGCAACCTGCAGCTGGGGCAGCACAGTGAGAAGGGGCTAACCCCTGCAGGATAAGTCTCCAATACACATTTCTATTATGCAAGTTAAATAAATATTTCAGTTATTTAATAACAACTAGTACACAACCACCTCACTTACCCCGCCCCCCAAGGGACTGACCTAGCTAGGCTGCATCTTTTGCTCCTTGCCCCTATGTGGGGCACAGAGTAGCCAGGGCTGGCCTAGCCCGTTGCCCTGCCAGGGCTAGGACCTCAGGAGCCCGCCTGCAGTAGAGAGCCCTTCATTCACCCCAGGGAGTCTGGTGAATCCAGTCTTAGGTCATTAATGGGCTTTCCTGAGAACTAAGAAGACAGACGCCACAGCCAGTGAAATACAAAAATAGAGCCTCTCTTTTGTTTAAAAAACAACAACAAAAAAAAACCCAACAGCAAACAATATCCACAACTTAGAAGGCAGCTCCCCAGCTCCTCCCCGGCCCTCGCGGTGCAGCCCGCATCTCCTCGCAGGAGTGCATAAGCTGGGCTGGAGTTTCCCCGGTCCGCGACTGCCGGGGGAGGAGCCGGGCGGCCGCCTATCGGGGCTCCGGGGCCCAAGTCCTCTGGCTGCCGCGCAGGCTGCGCGTGAAGGGCGGGTAGTTGAGGAACTCGAAGCGCAGGCTCTGCTCGGTGGTGTGATGGCCGCGGGGCAGCCTCTTCATGAAGTGCACCTCGCGCTGGTGCTGGCGCGTCTTGGAGCCCTTGCGGGGCCGACCCTTGCGGGTAAAGGCCATGTACCAGCCCTCGTACTTGGCGTTCTGCAACGCCGTGTAGTTGTTCTCCAGCACGATCTCGGTGAACACGCAGTCCTTGCCTTTGCCGTTGTTCTGCAGGTAGTGGGGGGGGGGGGCAGACGTGGCTTTACCGAGCCTCCCCTCCCCAACTCCATGCGAGGCAGAGGGCTAGCGGCCCCAGACAGCAGGTGGACACCCCAGCAGATGGTGAGGGGAGTGGGAGCCCGGCCCCACCTCCTACCCGGGCACCCGCTCTCTAATCCCTCACAACCCGCAGCCCACCCGGCAACTTCCTGTCCTCCTGGGCAGCAGTGACACATGGCTGTCTATGGATGGGCTGGGCCCAGGGCAGAGAGGCAGGCAGAGGGGCCTAAAGCCTGCCTGCTCTGGCCTCCTGCCCACCAGTCTGGCCGGGGTTGCCCAAGTTTCTCCACCTGCCTCCCTCAGCTCCTTTGGACTCAGGCTCAGGCCTGGGATAGCCACATTATGGGGGAGGGGAGGTCTGGGAGGGTCTCTGAGCCCCAAGCCCTGAAGCCTAGGAAGCGGGGAGCTCAAGGCTGGAGAGGAGCCGTGACTAATGGGGCCATTTCAGTGCTCGCCCGAGGGGCTGGGCCTGCGGCTTACTGAACATTCCAAATGCTGGTACCATGTAATTGGACATAATAGCAAAGCAATTTGGCGATTTGTTAAAAAGATATATGGAATTTGCCATCACTACCCCCCAACCCCTTCCCTAACCTTCCTCCTTCATCTTCATAGCTTTTCCTTTCTCAAGCTGTTTTTTCCCCCCCTTACTTCCCCACCCAATCATTAGGCACCCCCAAGGTAACCAAGGCACCACCATGCCTCTCCACCCACCTTGTTGAGATGGCAGCACAAAAGTGTACTGGAGAAGCTCTGCCAGCCCAAGCTACCTCCTCAAGCCCCAGTGCACATTTCCCTTCTGGGCCTCACCTTGGCAATCAGTTTCCCTTTCTTATTCATGCAGATATAGAGACCAGTCTCTGCTCCTCGAACTCGAACTCTGCTCCCAAAGGTATCAGTCTCCACGATGAGCTTTGCTGTCAGGGAAGGTATAGAATGGTCACTAGAAGACCTCTGACCCTTGACATTCTACAGCTTCACCCCAGACAGCCCAAGGATGTGTCTCATCCCTGAAACTACACTAAGGGCTAGGAACAGAAAACAAGCTCCAGCCCAGAGCTTGTGCTAGGCAGCAGCCTGAGAAAGACCAACTGGTTTCTCTAGGCCTCAGACCCCACTTTGGGGCTTACCAAGGGGCTGAGACACATCACAGTTTACAAGCCCAGTTCCATAGAAAGGTTCTGGTGCATTAAACTGAGAAGCCAAATCTCCATTCTTTTACCCCTCTGCAAGCTAGAAGCCAGCTTTTAGGTTGAGATGTCAAATAAAATTTCATCTGAGGAGATTCCACAGCTACTTGAGAGATCTCTGAGCATCCATCCAACTTAGAATGTCTGAACACATGCCTCACATCTCTAAAACCAATCCCAGGAGTAGGGGAGCACTAAGGTCAGCAGAGCAGCTCTCACACCATCTAGCCTGTGACTGCTCACTCTCTTCACATAGACACAAAAATGGAGCCAGGGGCCAAAGTCCACAGTCTGTCCTCTTGTCATCTGGGAAATGCAACTGTTACTTCCCTTCCTGCCTACCTCCTCTTGGACCCAGCCAATCTGCTCCTCCTTCTCATGCCTGCCTCCTAGAACAAGAGGTAGCTGCTTCACAGGACCAGAAAGGAAGCTGGCTGGAGAAGGAGTGAGACGACCCTGCTCTGAAGATTCCAGTACCAGCTGCGCTGATAGGGACACAGTGGGTACCTCTGCTCCTTCCTGGGCCCTAATGTAGCAATTAGGACATCTCTACTGTTCTCCCCAGGCTTATACACCTTATGCAACTGTTCTTGGAGCCTTAGACTCCTACTTCTGCTCTGCAGGCATAGACCAGAAAAAGGGGATGCCTTGTCTCAGTCTGATGCCTGAAGACCAATTCCATCACTGGTCTCTCCTTCCCACCCCGAAATCCAAGGATGCTGGGCCATTTGCTCCAACAGAGTAAACTCTGGAGGAGCCAGGCATTGGTTCCCTTTCCTAGTTGGGAAGCTGAGAAGGGCAGCAAGCAGCCAATTTGGAGGGACAAAGGGCCTGTAGGCCGGCTCTGCCAGCCCAGCAGGGGAGCTGGGCCACCAAGCAGGCTATCCCCACCCCCACCCAGAGAACCCCCCCCCACTTCCCTTCCCAAGTCAGATCTGGGGAGCCAGGCTGCGCAGTTTACAGCGGCTTTCCAAGCCCGCGTTTTGAAAGCTTAACATTTTCAAACCTATTCTTCCACCCCAGTGACAGATTTATCCCAGGAAAATTATGTCTTTCTCCAGCTTTGAAGGGAAGTCAGCTACGTCGATGCAGAAAAAATGCAGCGAGACATACTCGATCCCCCAAACTGGCTCAAGAAGAGGAGAAAGCATTCAGGAAATGTTAAAAAAGGTGAAAGTAAGAAGAGTTTTAATCGCTCTGCCAGACATGGGGGTCTCTCCAGAGATTCCTAGAGAACAATCTTGAACCTCTTTTTTTTTTTTTTTTAACATTTACAGACTTGTAACTCCTTTCAAACTCCACATCTCAAAAAAAAAAAAAAAAAAGGCTGGTTCTTTTTCTGTTTTATATCATTCTTCATTTTTCTTCTCAGCTTTTAAAATGCCTCACCTTTTTATTACATTTTAATAGAGTCTTCCTTTCTCCTTTCATGCTTGTTTAACTTGGTCATTATTTAAAGGTTTTTTAGACTCAGAATAATCGCTCTCTAAAAAAAAAAAACCAGCCGCCCAGAGGGTTTGCCTTCCTCTTGGTACATCCAGGACTCTGGAAATTGGCTACATTTCAAGGCAGGAATATTGAATGTTTTAGAAATCAATCAGTCCTCAGCCTTTGCGGCAGCAGCTCCCGGTACCCTGCCACCCCACAGGGATTCGGGAGCCGCCGCAGTCCCCCTGGGGTATCGACTGGTGGAGCCGGGAGTCTAACTTCCAGGCCTAGCCCTCCTGTGCAATTGACCCTTCTGATCAAAGAACTTAAGCGTTCGTAGTATCGCCCTTTTCCAAGCTGGGAGATTTCTCTACCTTTTCTTTCCCACTTTCCTTTTGTGGGCCCTGGCGACATATCCTCTTTCAAGCGCTTCCCTTAAACCTGGGCCCCCTCTCCTGAACCCTCTGCCTCCACCTGCAGCTGGGAAGAGGTGTATGAAGGGGGAGGTGTAAGGGAGACTCCTGGATTCATTCATTCGAGGGCCAGGGAAGAGAGGGCACCTGTGGGCCAAGTCCTCCCTAGGGTCCCTTCTCCAGCGCTTTCTCCAGCTGACCCTCAAGGCACTTTTTGCCTTAACTCCTTCCCTTCTGAGTGGAGTTGGGGACCCCGCAGGCCTCCCTGGCCAATGCAATTGGGGCTGGTGATGGGCGGCGTGGTCCACAAAGCTACCTTTCCTCTAAAATGAGGCGGGAGCAGTGCGCCTTACCGAAGGGGTCTCCGTCTTCTGCCATGGCGTTGATGCGCTTGTTGGCCAGGACCTGCACGTGCTTCCCGCTGGTGCGGCTGTAGAGCTGGTAGGTCCGGATGAGGCGCCGGCTGAGCTGATCCGTCACCAGGCTCTGCTCCCTCACATGCTGTGTAAAATTAGGTGAGGACTGAACAGTTACCTTTAGGAAATTGAAAAATATACAGCACGCCATTATAATGCTACTCCGCCCAGGGGCCCAAGTGGCCCCCATAACCCTGACCCCCCTCCCGCTGCGCCAGGCAGCCAGCAGGGACTGGGGGAATCCCCCCAACATGCCGGCTCAGGCCACCAAACCCCGCGGGGAAGTCGCACAGTCCCAGCCCAGGATGGATGAACCCGGGATGAGGAGAATTTGGACCCACCTGTTGGGAAACACCCTGGGGCTCCCGGCCAGCTCGGAGCAGGGAAGCGGGCTCCCTGCCCAGCGCAGGCCCCCCGCCCGGGCCTTCCTAGAGGAGCAGGGTGCTTTTAAGTAGCGAGGCAGCGCTACCCGACCCGTGACATTTATAAAGACAAATTTATGGAGCAAATGTTGAGAGCGCAGAGGGCCTAGACATATGATCGTTGGCCCAAACCAGCCACAGGTCTCCCCAGAGGGCAGCGGAGAGGATCCGTGCTGCAGTCATCCCGATTTCCCCTGACCACAACTATCCCCCCGACTCCAGCTTCCCCTCTCCCCTTCCTCAGAGGCCAGGTGTGGCTGCCTGTAGAGTTCCCATCCACCCGAACGGCTTCAAACCCTTGGTTCTAGTCTCTCCACTCACTCGCTGTGTGATCTTAGGCAGGGCACTGCCTCTCTGTGCCTTAGCTCCCTGCTCAGGGTAGTTTGGAGTAGGATTTGTAAAATTCCTTCCAGCCCTGCAGCTCTGGCCCTAGGGGGGGTCCTCCTGCCCCTGCTCGACATTATCAGCCGGGTCCCCCACCTGCCCACGCGGGCCCCCAGCCTCTGCGCCGCGCTCCTTACCTGGGCTTGGAGGCAGAGAACCAGTAAGTGCAACAGCCTGTGGGAGACAAAAGCGGGCAGGAGAGAAGAGCCGGGTGAGCGCAGAGGGCAAGGCAGGAGCTAGCCGACGGGGACGCGGGGGCGACCGCAGTACTCACAGGCAGCTCAGCGCGGAGCGGGGGCTGCCCATGGCGCGCGGCCCCGGGAGCACCGAGAGCCCAGGCGCGATCACGCCGTCCCGCGGGCGGCCGCGGGGTGACGAGCCAAGGAGGCGGAGGCCGAGGAAGGTCCGGGTGCGGGAGCCCAGCGGTGATCCCGACGCGGCTCTGCGGGTCTCGTGGAATGTCGTGCTCGCAGCGCGCGCCGATCCGCTCTGCGCCGCTGCTGGAGCCGGTGGCCGCTGGCTGCTCAGGAGCCCGAGCAGGCGGGAGGGTAACGGGCCCGCGGGGTGGGT